ATAAATAAATAAATAAATAAATAAATAAATAAATAAATAAATAAATAAATAAAAAATGCCTTCCCTACCCCCCAGAAACCCTAAGAAAGAAATGAGATAGAACACAGAGAGGAAGCCGAGGTTCCTACCACAGACAGTTTACAAGCATTTTGGCCTTTTCTACTTTGGGGGCTGGGACAGAACGCAGAGCCTCAAGCATGCTACCCAACTTGCTCAGCCACTGAGTAAGACTCCGGACCACCAAACATTTTGGAAAGGCATTCTTTCTGAGGGAAGAAAAATGTTCAGGGCTACTTGTATCTGTCAGCTACAAGGCTGGCAGCTCAGTGGTAGAGGAATCCTTAACCCAGGAAAGGCCATGCATTAGTTCTCAATGCTGCCCAGAGACAGCCCAAAGGAGAAGAGACCAGAGGCATGCAGGGAAGGCACAGGCAGAGCACAGTGGGCCTTACCTTCTATCACCGGGGGGCTGTTCTTAGGTGGGTAGGTGTTCTTGACAAGAGACCAGCTTTTGAGCCTTCGTGGATGTCTTGGCTCTCTGTAAAAGCTTTCCCTAGAGGGACCCCCATGGCCTGGCCCAGGAAACGGAGGTTCAGTATTGACAACCCACCAACCACGACCATATGGGCTAGATCTAGGACCAAGGCCTCCTCGAATAGGGCCTCTACCCCGGGGAGGAGGTGGGAGACTCAGCAGTGGCGGAATCATCGGTCCCCTTGATCCTGGAGGACCTCTGTGAAGAGCTAGAGAGAAAGACAGGGAGGGTGATTGCTGGGCAGCTAACTCCTGACAAAAGCCCCTCCCCTACTGGCCACATTAAAGCATTCTGACACCCCACTTAAGAACACAAGCCAACTATCACACCTTTATCTGGGCTTCCATCACACAGGCAAAGAGACGAGTTTTCTTAGCCTTTTTAACCCCCTGTGCCAGGAATTGAATCCAGAACCGTGTGTACACTAGGCAACTACTCTACTACTGAGCTAATGTCCGCTTCAAAAGAGCCATCCACATGCCCTTTCCTCTCACAGAAGGTAGCCACTATCCTGACTTCTAACGTGATAGGTTGTGAATCTTTGCTTGGCTTTTAACTCTGGCTTCTCTCATTAACCATGAGATTCATTCAAGTTGTCTGGAGTGGAGCTGGTTAATTTTCTTTGCAGCGTAGTATCCTATCCCATGCGTCACAGCTAACCTGTCCACTCAACTGATGGTGGACATGTGCGTGTCCACTGTGCGGCTGTAATGAAAACGCTATGAACATTTACATGTACTACAAATTTCTGTTCTGACCACACGAGGCACAGATATTGCTCAGTAAGTATAGTGTGTTCAAGTCTGAGCTTATGCTGGTGTACCACATTCATGTCTGGTGCCTTTGCAGGCCAAAAAAGGGGACTGGAATGAGAGTAGTGAGCTGCCACGTGGGTGCTAAGAATGGAACTCAGGTCCTCTGCAATAGCAGCCACAGTACTCTTAACCACTTAGCAACCCCTCTCTAGCCCCAAGAAAGATTTTTAAAATGATTCTATCTTATTTGTGTGTGCATGGACTGTGTGTACACAGATACCAAGGTGCATGTGTGACAGAGGACAACTTGTGAAATTCAGTTCTTGTACTACTTGGGGCCGAGGATTCAAGTCAGGCTTGGTGGCAAGTACTTTTCCTACAGAGCCGTCTTATCAGCCTGACTCACCTCAACTATGTTTTTCAAGACTGGGCTTTCCTGTGTAGTCCTGGAACTCTCTATAGAACAGGCCGGCCTGTTCTACCTCCTGCCTCAGAGATCCTCCTATCTCTACCTCCCGACTGTTGAGATTAAAGGCTTAAAGGCTTGTACCATCACACCTGGCTTAGGTCAGCTATTTTTAAGTATATGGTTCAATACTATAAGTTCATGTGCTGTGAAACAGAATCCCAGGACCAAAACAGAATCCTCTGAACAAGCCCTTATATTTCCAACAGCCCCAGGAGCCCATATTCTGTTGTTTCTATGCATTTGATTTTGTGTAACTCATGCATTTATTTCCATGTGTCTACTTTCTTAGTATAGTTTTCTCAAGATTTACCCATGCTGCAACACTAACATTTTCTTCCTTTGTAAGATGAAGCAATATTGCATCAAATGCATACATTTTGTTAGCTTGATGGCAGCCTGGACTACATAGCATCTGTCTCAAAAAGACCATGCTTTCAATTCTTGTACATGTACATCCTGAGTGGGACTGCTGGCTTGTATGGTAGTTCTGCACTTTTACTTTCCTAAACAGGGTTTCTCTTTAGCCCAGGCTAGCCCCATAACTGCTACAATTCTGATTCATCCTCCAAATTGCAGACATATGCTACTGTATGCAGCTTACTTTTAGTTTCCCAACAAATCTCTATACTGCTTACTATGATAGTTATGTGGTCTCATGGCTAGCTAACAGTGTTATTTGATTAACAGAAGTTTGTGTTATTTGACGTAGTTCCAAACCTTTCCTTTATGACTGGCACAAGTGTGTGTATGCATAGGGGCCAGAGATTGACAGGTCTCACTGATTCAGCCACACTCACTGGCCAGCAAGCCCTAGAGTCCTCCTACCTCTGCCTCCTCATCACCCAGCTTTCAAGATGGCTGCTGAGGTCTGAAATCAGGTCCTCATGCTTACACTTTATCAACTGGACCACCTCCCCAGTATGTCTCCTGTTGGGCCAAGCTGACCCTGAACTCCAGCCCCTCTGCCTGGTCCGTGTGTTGTTTACAAACTCTTAGCTACTTTAAGGCCATGAAACATTCCGTTCCTTTTATTTTATTCCTGTTTTACAGTTTACTTAGACGATGTCTTTATTTGGTTCATACTTTTACACAAATGTCCAGTGGAGACATTATTACTGACAGGACCATTTCCTTGATTTCATCTTCAGACATAAGTGTTCGTATATTTACAGGCCCCTGATTCCATTCAGACAGGGTCTCATGTAGCCCAAGCTAACTGGTCTTAATTTGCTATGTAGAAGAGGCTGGCCAGGAGCTCCTGGTCCTCCTGCCTCAGTCTCTCAAGTATTACAAACTTATGTAGGTTATTCTGTGAAAACCACAATGCCATAGCTACCATAGCTTTATACTGAATCTTTATGTGTCCTCCCACTTTGGACCATCTTGGTAGTGTCCCATTTAGAGCCTCTATGTTTCTCTATAACAGAAAATGTTTATTTCTACACAAACGGAATAGAGATAGACCATGAAAGCCTCAGACCTGGGAGTTAATTTGAAAACGAATTTGACAACCCCATGTTTCCAAATGGTTAATACATGATCACTCATTTAGGTACACAATCCCTGGATTTTTGTTTTTAAAGTCTTTGATTTTTTTTTTCTTCTCCATCCATTCTCCAGGACTTAAAACACACACACACCAGGGCCCGTTTCTCCTCACCTGACTTGGGATCACCAGGCTTTCCATTAGCCATGGGAGGAGGGCCCAGAAGGCTGGGTGGTCCTAAGAGCAGACGTGAAAACATCATCAGAACGGTGCAAAGGACTAGTCATCTCGTTCACTGTGCGGTCTTTAACACTCATTTTTTAACCAGTAAAGGTAGCTATATCCACTCAGCAGTGCCGCAATCTCTCACCCCGTCCATCTGCCCGACCCTCTTGCAGAGTTAGTTGTTCGAGACTGAGCAAAACAGTGGAGATTCCATCAGAGAGTAACAGAGGTCTCCAACAGCTCTTTCCTCACAGTGCTGCATCCACAACATGCCCAGTGATCGATCCCACAGACCCCAATCCCTCACCTTAACTGTTGGCCCATCTTAGTTTTTTTCTCCTCTCCTTCCCTCGGGGGAGTAGTTCACAGAAGGCTGCACTTTCACCTAACCAGTGGAAGTGTGGTCACAAATTGTCTTCCCGGTCATCACAATCTGTAATCTCGCCGCCACCCCTCTCCCCCGCCATTCTGCGGCTGCGCAAGCCAGATCTTCAGCCGCCACCTCCCCTGCCTTCTCCAGAAAGGGTTCGGAGCCAGACTGAGACCGAGGGTTCCCGCAAACGAACTCCTCGTTCAAGGATCCGCCAGCAGCCCACCCCTCCCCGCGCCGCCCCCCTCCACGCGTGCGCCCTTCCTCCTTCCGCTGGAGCCCCCTCCCCCGCACCTCTCTCCGCGCCTAGCCCCGGGCCGGCTGACAGGCATGTGCACGCCCTCCCCCTCACCAATGGGACTCTCGTCCTCCTCGTCTCCAGGCTCGTCCCGGTCGGACAGTGCAGGATGTTGTGGCGGCTGCTGCTGCTGCTGCAGATTCTGCTTCTTGCGTTTGGGCATCGTGGCTGCGGCGGCAATGGCTGCAGCAAGATCTGGAGGGCAGTGAGGAAGGGGCACACTGGGCTTGTTTCCGCTTCCGGGTGGGCGGTGGGCCGGGAGCCCGAGGCTTTCGCCATGCCACTTCCGGCAGGTGGTGGCTCCGCGGCCGCCCTCTCCCACGGAGGGTCTGGCTCGCGGTGCGGCCCACGCGGAGGCTTTGCTCCCCCCGTGGAGCTCCTACTCGCTTGCCCAAGTCTTCTCCCCACGTGGAAAAGCACCTCCGCCGCGTTACGGCCAGACGCTCGACGGACCTCGGGCGGCCAGCGAGCACCCCGTCGCACCCTAAGGTCGCCACATCCGGTCCCCCAGTTACCATGGCAACGCCCGCAGTCACAACTCGGTGCTGCTCTCTGACCGCTCTCCAAAAGTCCTTGTCCCGCGGGCGTTTCCTGCTCGCCCGCGCTTGCACGTGTGGGCTGTGAGCCCGCCGCCCGGCAGCATCCTCCCCGAGTCCATGAGCCGCGGCCCGGC